TTTTTTTTTACTGTTACATAAGATGAATGATTGAAAGTTTGTCAGTGTTGCCAACTCTTGTGACATTTGGTGATTTTCTTAAAGTCCCAGCTGCTGGAGTCAGGTGATTACTAGAGAATCTCAGTTTCATTTAATTTGTGTGTGTGTGTGTGTGTGTGTAAGTTTCCAGCCTTGAAGGTTGGGGCGAAAAAGTGTAAAGTGTTTTAGCAAAGGCACCCTAAAGGCTCAGAAAGCAGAAGGCAAAGAAAAAGAGCCCAACATTTATTATTTTAAAAAATATTTGGATTTTTAAGCCCATCTCATGATTTTTTGGGAGGGGAGGGTCTGGCTCATGATTTATGAATACTTGTGTTGATAATATGGAAATCTGCTCATTTATTCAACATGTTCTCCCCCATCACATGTATGTACCCTAGTGTATTATTATAGGGTGATTCATGAGAGATGGCCTATCCAGACTGGGTTGTTATAGGGTGACTCTTATGCACTAGGTTGTTCACACATTGATTTGTTATCATGGGGCTGTTTAGTGTTGAGCTTCTAGAGTTCTTGAATTTAGAAGTAAAAGGGCTATTTAAATACATTTTAGGTTAGTGAGTTGGGAAACATATAAAGAGTTTGTGAACAGCTTCAAGGCTGTATCCATGGAGCTATGCTGGAGCTACTCCACCTGAGGTCATGGCCCATAAGTTACAGAAAATGTAGGCTATGAAGTTCCAGAAAATGTGGGCTAAATCCCGCCCCTGCTTGTTATCCATTCCACTGACAGTGGCCTGTCACAGGAATCAGTGAGTAAGTATTATCTCCCTAGTAGCAGCACGAACAGAGGAGAATATAGATTTGCTTCTCAAATGATGTCATAACTGAACTCTGTCGCTTATTGGCCACATGGCAGCAATAGCTCAGAAAATAACTAGCCTTCTTTCAAGGCGGGGCAATGATGGAATGGTTCTAAAAGGCTCCTTCTGTCCCAGTCCACTCTGGCCAGAGGTGAAGGAAATAGCATGAAATGCTTTGAGTGAACACATTATGTGCTAAAAGTAATTTCAGACCATCTCTTCAGGATTTTAAAAACAATTTTTAATAGTAAAAGAACAAAGAATAACCTGTTACAATGTGAACATGCTGCAGTATTTCATAAGGTTTTTTAAAATATATTTTTTTCCTTGCAACATTGCCAACTCTCACAGCTTCCTCTGAAAATTAAGATTCCAGGGGCTCTCTCATTCGCTCTTTTTTTAAAGACCAAAAGAGAACTTGTTTTAAAATTCCTTTCATAAATCTTAAAACTCCTTAAAATGAAAGGAATAACTATCATCTTAAAAGAATCCCCCAAAACCTAAGACCAACAGCAGCTGCCCCCAAACCCCTGCAAAACAGGTCTTCAGCCAGGTATGGGAGCTGGCAGGGAATGTATTGATTTTGGACTCCTTTGAAGGGGAAACCTAGCAATACTCTTGTGGTGGAAGGGAATGTACTAACACAGGGTTCAGAGGAGAAACTTTATCAATACCTTGATGTTCACTAGAATGTCCCAATCTCTGGACGCCTTTAGAAAGAGGGAACTTTGTGGCAGAGAACAGTCCCAATGCCACAAGGCCATGTCTCAACCTGGGACAAAAATGGGAGCTCAAGGGCTACTCTAATGCTCAGTCCTCATGTTATGTTCCTAATTAAGCACACTAATGAGAGAGGCAATGACCACACTTCTTTGTGTGATCCAGAAACTGGAACCAATAAGCCTTTTTCCAGACAAATTATAAGAGGGTCAGAATCTGAGGGGGAGAGATAAGGGTCATATAAATAGAACAATTTAAGGTGAGAGAAAGCACAAGAAAACTGACATCCTTATTTAATCAAAAAACCAAAGTCTATTAAGTAAGACTGAAGATAAATGAAATAAGTCACTCATATTTAAAAAACTAAATAAAAATCACACCTGCACAGAGAAGATGTCGAGGAAGAGGAAGAGCTGTAAAATGAGAGAAGGGTGCAAGAAACGAGAAGCAACAGTGCATGAAAAACAAAGGTTATAGATGGTATCTGCCTAACAAGTAGTCCTGTGATTGGCTGAGGGGGTTTCCTGTGACTGTGGGGCCTACTTCCAATCTTCCCTCCATTCACACATCCGGGCAGAGTTCCTCGGGTGGCGTCCACTGGCTCCCTTGACACCTTTGAGGAGCAGTGGGCACTGTCCAGGGTTCTCTGCTTGGTGTCCCCTACAGGTTTCCTACGTTTGACCCTTTGACCCTCACACTTATCCCTGTTACCTACGTTTGACCCTTTGACCCTCACACTTATCCCTGTTATTTTTCTGTTGTCCCATGTAATTATTTGAGTCCCGGGCCCAGTGGATCCTCCCCACAGGCTGCGGGAGGGTGCTTTAGCAGTGGGCAGGCTTGCATCCGCCGACTTCCCGGAACCCACTATGAAGTAGTCCTGTGATGTAGTTCCCCAGTTGACACACAATTTGTACTTGTAATGGTTACATTGCTGTAATGTGTTTCTTGTTTGTGTACTACTGCCTTCTAGTGACTGGCCTATTGAAAATAAAAGCAGTATTATTGACAGCTAATGAGCATATCCCTTTATCTTTAAGTGGTGAGTCTTGTTTTTTTGGATTAAAGGTCCTCACACTGGAATAGGTGGTGATCATGATGCAGCCATGTATTTGTAACAATTCTTTGCGTAAATTGATTTTAAACTTTTGGCTTACACATATTTGCTAAACATTTTCAAGTAAAAATGGAGATATATATATATATATATAAATCATTAGTTTGACACATGCAGTGTAAACCAGGGAAAGGTAAATTTGAATGAAGCTCACCACAATGATTAGAAGAATGACATCCTCTTCTATGAGTATCAGATAATAAAAACTATTTGCCCCTCGACTCTGAACAAAATTAAAATCCTTTCTTAATGCAAGAGAGGAAGGGAATATTCTTGCCCCTTCTCTGCACAATTTCGAGTGTTGCTAAATGAATCACCATTCACCAGCACAACAAGGACTAAGGCTGCCAGAGACCAAGAGATAGATCCATAAGGTTAAGTGGAACTACTCTCCTTCTGCCTACTCCCAGTTGTTCTCTTTCACCTACACCCCACCTTGCTGCACCAACCTCTGAGGTCAGGTGTTCAACTTCAACACATGCAATCTGCAAAGCTTGAACTGGGGAAGGGCATGAAAGGAAAATGCTTCACATTCCATGGTTGATGGGGATGGGGAGTGATGTGGGCAGGGGGCGGGGGGCGGGGGGAGGGCTACTGTATGCTAAAGGTGAGGGAGAAGGAGGTAGGTAGGACTCCAGCTTGTGCTAAACCCGCAGTGTGCTAGAAGAACTCACCTAAATCTGGCTGGTACGCAGCCCATGCTTTAGGATATGTCTACACTGCAATGTAAGCCCAGCGTTAGTGGGACTTGAGTCAGTTGCCTGTGCTAGGGAACCCTGGGCTTGAGCGGCTACGTTGTATTTTTACCTTATATTAAGACTTTTCTAACACAGGCTCGAGCCTAGGGCTCTGGCGTCCACACTGCCGTGCGCAGACCGAAGTCTTAGTAACCATATCCCAGAATCCCTAGCACCTCCACCCTCTGAAATGTGGCTGCTCTAGCCCTAGGATCATGGTGCACTTTGGGAGAACTTTACTGTCTACCCTGCATGTTACCAGGAAGCCGGTCACTTTGCAAAAGGCTTGATCAGTTTGTTTTCCATTGCAAGCCCAGGAGGGTCTCTGACAGGGTGCTTGCAGATCAGTGATCAGAAGAGAATGGGTTAACACTGACCTGAGCTGCTGCTATTTGCCATTTTCACTAGAGTGGATTGCAGATTCTTGGGATAGAGAAGACCAAGGAAGTTGTCCCATGGAATTGTGGGATACTTGCAGCTGACTCCCAGGACCCGAGTCAAGCGGGGCTCCGTCTACATTGCAAAGCAATAGAGCTCGCACCCTGGGTGCCAGCTTAACTCCTCCAGCCCTGCAGGGTCCTGGAACCCTGGGTCCGAGCCCTAGGTTAGCGCAATTGCAGTGTACATGCAAGGGGAGGTTAGGCTTGAGCCAAGGCTCACACACAGGCCTACGTTACAGTGTAGACATACCCTTAATGTGCTATATGTCACTGTCAAGTGACAATTGCAATGCTTCTCCATTTTCTTAACCAACAACTGGCAGATACAAGCTATTCCTCATGTAAATATGGTACCAGGAACAGGAAGGGATTTCTACTTATAGGATATGAAAGTTTATATCACCCTGAGAGTCACTTGATTAGACTGGCAAACCCTCAGGATAGCAAAGGGGTGAGTGCTGTGATAGATTTAGCTAGTGATCTTGAACATTCAGGCTGTCAGCTGTCCTTATTGCAGCAATAGAAATCTAATAACTACTCCACTAACCTGTGGATAATATAGGGAAGATGTAGTATTCCCAAGCCCTTCTGTTCTATGGCTGAGAGGTGAATTTTAGTGGCAGATTCCCTACAGAGAGCTCATGTGAGAGACTCCAGGTTCTCCTTCCTAATGAAAGGTGGATAGGTGACTCTCAGGACTCTGTTCCCTATGAATATACACCGAGCAATTGATTGCTGGCTCAGATATCATGGGAATCTCATCCACATCTGTTGGACTTCACATACACATGGAAAGCCTGAGAGTGGGCGATGGGTTTAATTCAGAGTTAGATTTTATAGGGTCAAGGGTGGGAATATAGGATAAGACTTCAAATAGGCACATACAGACAGTATCTCAGGTAACTCAGAGCGGGGGATATAGGGTGAAAATTCATACATACAGCATCCCAGGAGTCAGGGGATACAGGTGAGACTTCACACACATGAACACTCCAGGGGGAAGACAGAATATTTTACAGAGATATTTAAACATTTCCAATAGTTTCATCACATGAGGCCTGGTGAATATTCAGGGTCCCTGATAACTTCTTGCCAAGTTAATCTGAGAAGGAATTGTTTAGAAGTAGGTGAATCTCATGAAGCCACCCTGCACGTGCTCAACAGAATGTCAGCAGGTGGATGGAAGGGCCGAAAATAAGTGTCAATGGTGAAGAAGACCATTCTGGAACCTTGGAAGACACCAGCAGTGATTCTGGTGACTTAGATGATACCAAACTGTGCCAGCTCATGCAGTTCCAGATGGCTGAAAGCCTCCCATGGACAGATCACTGTAATATCTGCAAGATAGAGAGAGAAACTGGATAAGTTCAGTACAAGCTCAGTATTCCCCATTGTTTCTTCTATCCTAGAGAGATGGGCAGGCTGATTTATTAAAGAAATAGTGCTAGGTGAAAGAGAAAGGAAAATGGGCCTCTATTCAAAGACTAGGCAGAGATGAGGGACAATATTTCCCCACCCCATCAGTGTAAGAGTGGGCAGCCTCCTGCCTCCTGCTACACTGAACTAGATCGATGGTTCTCATGTGGCATCTCACCACTTGCTGCACTAGAAAAAACACATAGTCCATGTAGTCTTGTACCTCATCTCCAGCAACTGATATCTAGAGCTATGTGAACAGCTCACTTAAAAACTTTTGATTAATTTTGCTTCCCCATTAGTTTGTTTTTATAACCAGATTGTGATTTTCTTGAATACTTTTGTTATCTGACATTATTTGCTGAATAATCTTGGCACAAAGTTCTTAGTGTGTAGATTATTGGGGTGTGTCTGATGTTTGAAATCTGAGCTCTTTTGATTGGACACAGATCACATGACACATTTCTGGTCACTGGTTGGACGAGTGTAACTCTTGGAATCAGGATTCTGGTGAGAATGCTAACAATTAGCAATTTAAAATTCACTTTCTGTGATTTTTCTTGCATTATTGGTGTTAAAGTAACCGTTTCTGTGAACTTTCCTGCTTATGAAGTCATTTGCTAGAATATTTGCAGAAAGCAAACACAAGTGAGCCCATTCACAGCCAAGTGAATCCATTTAAAAATTCAAACAGATATGAATTTTTCATAGTATTTGCCTAATTCCACATCTGATGGAAGATTACAAGGAAGGGAGGTTAGAACACCCACAAGGCACCTTGGCCAGTTGTGCAGTGCTACATTATGGAGGGGCAAAAACGAAATTTATACCTGACTATAGCAGGCAATCATCTTAAGCCCTGAAGCAAGAAGGCTGATTGTCCATCTGTCTTGTATGGTTTAGACACAACAAATCCTGCATCTTGGCAGGGGGTTAGACTAGATGACCCTTGCTGTCCCTTCTAGCCCCATGATTCTATGTTTTTGTAACAGAAATACTTTAAAGGCATCTGAAGAGCAATATTACATATGACTTACCTGTTCCAAGTCCCTCCATACCTGGAATGTCATCTCCAAACCTGTGAGAAAGGACAACAGAGGAAGGTGAGACTGGAACAGAACCAAAAGAGAAGGATTACCTCACACAGGGTCTTTCCTAACTGAAGGGAGATTGGATCAGCACCTGAGAAAAGGGAATAGTTCAAGGATTTTGCTAAATTACAGGGACAAAGGACATAAGATCAGCAGCAGAGGAGGGGAACAGTTCACAAGGAGTTCCTCACTGCCAAGGGGACGTAGGGTTGCCAGTTTTGGTTGGATGAATTCCTGTAGATTTCATCACAGGATATAATCTTTAATTAAAGATTAATCTTTAATTACTGGATTGGCAACCCTAAAAGGGAGTGACACAAGAGTATAATACAAGTGTTTCCTGGTTTGGCCTAATGGGTTCCATGGAGAATTTGGTGCAACTCTCTTGTTGGACTCATAAGGGGGAAGTGTTACTTCTGGCATGATATCCTCCCTATGAGAACATATCCTGCCTTCTCATGTTCTATTCATGCGGAGATCATCTGAAAGATCCCAGATATGAGAAGGTGTATCAGATCACCTCACTGCCTCACCTAATGTATGTGAAGGGAAGTACCAGTCCCTGGAGCTCTCATTAGTGCTCTTACCCTTTTACTCCTTTCTTTGGGGGCTTGCTTTTGAACTGTCTTGTCTGCCTTTGCTTGAACTTGGGAGGTCCCTTGCGTGGTGTGGTGGGACCAGCTGCCACTTCTGTGGTGTTGAGGGTATTGGCGTCGCTCATTCTTGAGTTGCTGTATACAAGAGGTACTTCTCTTTCAAATCTTCCTGTCTGTAAGATAAATGCAGATAATGAAATGGAAGGAGAGTGCTGAACTTATGACTTCTAGATGCCATCAGCCAGAGGAGGGAGAAAGGACTATAACTTTGACCAGAGCCTAGGGATGGGGATTCAACAGTCAGGATGGGCAGGGATGGTGTCCCTACCCCTTGTTTACCAGAAGCTGGGAATGGATGACAGGAGATGGATCACTTGATGATTACCTGTTCTGTTCATTCCCTCTGGGGCACCTGGCATTGGCCACTGTCAGAAGACAGGATACTGGGTTAGACGGACCTTTAGACTGAGCCAGTATGGTCGTTCTTATGTACAGTATAAGAATCAGAACAGCATCTGCAGTCACACTTGCTAGGATAAAAATGGCAAGTTCTCAGTCTCCAAGCCATGGGGACACCAGCTGGGGGCAGGGAGACTTTTATCCCCTTAGCAGGATATTGCACAGCGAGCTGCAGACAGATGGTTACACCTGCTTCCGAAGGTTAATGTTGGAGACAGGTTGCTAGACCAGATGGCCCAGTAATCTGTTCTGGTGGAGCAGGAGGACTAGTACCAATGGAGCTAGATAACTGGTTTGTCCTAGTCTGGTAAGGCCTATATTTTTATTTGCAGATTTAGTATATACCTACTTGGTGCCACATCACCATAAGAAAATGTTTATAATCATTACAGAATATCTGGGCAATATGGAATATTAGCCTCCTATGGAAATAGTTTTCCCCAAGACGTTTTAAACTGGACCAAGGCAAAGCAGTGGAGAATATATTTTAGGAAACAATCCTTCATTGACTAGGATGTGGGAGAGTGTGAATGGGTGAGATGACCCAATAGACATTGTCCATCTCCATTTTTGACAATTTTAAGTGTCATGAACAATAGCTTTGCATACTCCATTGCTGCATATGGATCAGGCCATAATTCCATATGTAAAAAGGAAATCCAGGAACAAGGCTAACTAATTAATACTGTGTGGTTCCCAAATCTGTACATCTGCTCAGCAGATTGTAAAAGTGGCCAAGGAACCATTTGGTCACTGTCATCCCCTAGTGGACATAAATTCAATTGCTGGCACGTAAAGGACATACATTTTCTTTTGTCTCAGGTGGTAGAGCTGCTGCATTGGTATCTGAGGGTCCTGTGGTTCTACACCCCACAGGACATGGATCCCTGACACCTGTATCCCATGGGGTCACCCATCCCTTCATTAAGTCTGATGCAGCTCAGTGCACACTGTTCAAGAGCACCCAGTGGTATAGTGGTAAAAAAACAAAGTGGATAAACTAGCCTACAATACATTCCATATTCTCCAAAGGAGAAGTGAGTAAAGTTTGTTTACTCATTTTACCCTCAACTCCACTCCTGTGTGCATCTATGGAAAGGGGGGGTTTCCATCTTTCTCCCTTCCTGAAGTCACATGCTTCCCTTCTCTGCATTCATCATGTAACTCCTGTCCTAAAGCATTTCTGTTGGTTCACTTACTGAATGTTCATGCTAACAAGTGTTGGAATTAGCTTCACAATCTCAGTACTGACGTCAAATCCCTTTATGTCACCACAGTAACTTTAGTATAATCCTCCAAATATCCTCTTTCCCTCCCCCACCCCTCTGTTACGACGCTACAGACTGCAGAGATGAGCTCTTTCTAATTACCAGCCTATAAAAGCCACTAAAGAGCTGAGAGTATTTTTAGATCATTGACAACCACGGAATGAGAGGGCTTCTTGACCCCCATCAGTGCCTGCAATTGCTGTAATTCTTTCCTTTAAACAAAATCTAGAAAGGTCAGGGGAGACAGCCTGAGGAGCAAAGAATATATTCTTAGCAATTCCATTTTAACGTGTGCATGCGTGTTGATAGGCCACATACTTTGAAATAAGGGTGTTCCATACAAGGTGCTCAGATACCAAAGTGATCAATACTCTATAAATACCTCAATAGCTGCATCTTTTCATATCTAATACACTAGAGACTGAATGGTTAAAGCCATCCTAAGTGAAATAACAGACAGTAGAGTTTGCAGTGACAGCCAGGAATAGTTTGAAATGTATATACACTAGCCCTGCTGCTCACAGTATATCCACAATCTTCCAAGGCACACTTGCTATACACTCAATTTGATCACAAACCTAGTCATAGTAAATCTAGTTATGTATCTGTCTTGTTACCTATATGGTCCCTGTCACCATAGTATCTGAGCATCTCCCAGGATTTTATGGATTTATCCTCACAACAACCCTGCAGAGTGGGGAAACTACATTTTATAGAAGAGAAGCTGCGATATAGAGATTAAGTGATTTGTCCAAGATCACAGAGTAAATCTGTGTCAGAGCCAAGAATTATACCTAGATCTCCTGAATCTCAGTTTAGGGCCAAATTCTCTGATGAAGTAAATGGAATTGTGCTAATTTACACTAGCAGGGAGTTTGGTCCCTATTTTCTTAGCCACAAGACCATCTTTCCTTCCTGAGGATGTGTTATTTAAAGAATTGACAAAAACATTTAAAACCCTGCTGCTTTGCTCTAAGAAATGTAGAGCTTTAAGCATAACAATTAAGCATCGTGGTGTGCGTGGGCTATACCTGCCTACACTTGTGGTTAAAGCATTGTGCACTAGTCTCAAGAACAATAATAATCAATGGGGTACACAGTTACAATGATGTAGACACCCTCCTGGAGTACTAGAGGCACAGGGTGATAGAAATGTGTAATCAGTATCCAAAGAACATCTCTAACCAGCTTTGATCCACTTTGACAGACCCAGATACTATCCTGGCCACCCATGAGAGAATGAAATGTGACATAATAGTAAAAATGGCTGACTGAGATTTTTAACCCTGGATACTGACATCAAGAAACCGGAGAGGCAGCTGGGCTAACATCTGTCAGTGAGATCGCTCCCTGTTTTAGCAGACACCAGGCTGGTGCTAGCACAACACTCCATCCAGATCATAATGCCTTTGAGAGGCAGCTGCCTCCCATCCCTCAAAGCCCCCTTGGCCCCAAGCTTTACTCAGCAAGAGAAGCAGATAATAGGAGGGCTCTGTCTGTGGGATTCAGAGCCTTTCCTCCACCCCACCACTGTGTGAGGTTTCAGCCACCTCCACCTGGTATATGGTGGGAGAAAGCTTCAGACCAAACCATACTACATCCTATTTCTCATCTGCACTAATGTAAGAGAGAGGGAAAGAAATGGTATTCAACAGGGTTAAGGAATTACAGTTCTCTCTTCCCGGCAGCACCTTCATTACTCCTGTTCTCCCTACCCATCTCCACAGCTTGACGGCACCTTGGGAAAGAGCACAGAGCTTTTGGGTAGGAAGCGCTGGGAGATTTCATACTTCCTTCATCTCAAGCTCAGCACCAGACAGCACAAAGTCACTGTGCTGCTATTACACTGACAGGCCAGTGAGAGTTAATTTCCATCCACATACAGGCAAAGATGTCTTTGTTCTTGTAGTGGAGACCAATTCTCATTGACACAAGAGCTGCACCAATTCTTGTGTCTCTGTGATCAGTTCCTCCGGAACCATGCAGGACCACTGAGTGGGGCTGCAGCCCAGGACTCACAGAAGTAGGAGAAACACACAGCACAGTCTTCCATTTGTGTTCTGCAACCCTGTCTATCCATTTATCTAGGTACTCGGATGGTCCCTGTCACCGCAATACTTAGGTGCCTGACAATCTCCTACTTCACCTAGATTTGATCTTTTTCTATGGCACCTCTTTGAGTTCTCTGGCACCTTACCTCTGAATACGTTCCAGAGTCTTTGCCACAGCTCCCCTGCCACTAATGTCACTGGCAGACAGTGAAAGATAGTCCCAGGGTGAGAGAACTGACAGAGCCAGTAGCTGTGGATTCTTGTCCTTTCCCAATGAAGGTTGCTGGACAACTGAATGGTCCTTCACATCCTCTGCTCTCACTCACACAGTGTTATCTAATTGGCTCTGACAGGCTCTTTACTTGGCCCAGGATTTAATCCATTTGCGTAATGGCCTTGCTTGCGTCTGAACACTAATTTTACCTAATGCAATCTGTCCACAGTGATGTTCTTATCCCAGTGCTGGCAGATGACATCCCACCTCTGGGTTGGCTTCCAGGTTAATCTCCTTCCCGGCTACCTTCTGATTCCAATGCACTTAAGGAGGCTTGAGTACTAGTGACAAATAGCTGTTCTTTAATCCACCCCCTTCACAGCTTTAGTCTCTGATCCTCTATGGAAAATTTCCCTGACAAGCGAAATAGACATCTGACATGATCTTCTTTATAGCAGCATCAAACAGATTCCCCACATGGGCTGTGACCTTCCTTGGGTCCGTGCCCTGGGAAGGTCAGACATGCACTACTGCATGTGTGCTGGGATCTGCAGTGCGGCCCCAAAAATCTGAGACACAAGGCCCAGGTGGGTTGGGATCTTCCTCGCAACAATGCTCTGGAAATACATATTGTCTCCAGGTAGAAATGCTCTCAGCTATTTTATTCCATGTGGTGATATCCTCACCATCTCAGCTATGGGCCTCGTGTGCTGCAGCAGTGATCTTCCTTGCAGCAGTGCTCTAGCTAGAGAACTTTGTATCCAGTATCAGACATAACTGTGGCTGAATGAAAACAAGTCCCATAGCTCCAGGGCCAGCTGTTTGAACTGGGGATGTAATGAATATTTCCAGCCTCGGCCACTGCTGATGCCTGTATCCTACTGCTCTGAGCTCTCAGACTCTTTTCTCTAGCAATGGTTTCAAGACCAAACAGAAACAAAAAAGGATACACTTAAAAAGAGAGTCAGCTTTTAAGCTAGTTCTAAGTAGAACTGAAGTCCTGCAGCCCACTCCTTGATGGGAATCCTAGGAAATCCCATCCCATTCTGCTAAGGTGAAATGGTGAGCTTGGAAGAGAGGCTGTTACAGAGAGAAAGGGTTTATTATCAGACTGGGGAAGGGGGTATCTAGCTGTGTGAGCAGAACCCTTCAAATACCTCCTGGGGTTTCAGCAGTACCTTGTAAACAGCAGCTGAGTCCTGGACTCCAGTAGTGTCTTTACCACAGTGCCCTGTACACATTTTACAGCAATGCCCTGCCAGTGCCAGCCATACAAAGACTCAGATGAATTCCACAACAGCCAAGCAACAGTCCAAACCAAACGGCCACCAAGAAAAACACTAAGGAAGAAGCTGCTTCCAAAATAACCAGCCTCTTATAGGTAGGCTGACTATTCATGAAAGATTCCCATTTACTTCAGTCAATGGATCCCTACACCAGGTAAGAGACAGAGCAAAACGTTACCTAAGAAATGAAAATCTGTCTCTTCCAGACACAAACTCCAAACAATTCCCCAGGGTTTTCATTAGACTTTTCTCAGCTCAGTTTCTCTCTTTCTTCCCACTCTCCCTCCCCACCATCAGTCTGGGATACACAGAAGTTGTAGGGAATACTTACAGTGCTGAGAGCTCCTCTTGGAAATCATTAAATTACCTTCCTCCAGCCTGATTAGAAAAATCTCTCAAAGACGCAACTCATTGTCCAGAAATAGTCTGCCCGCAGGTGATGTCACAGACTCAAGGCACCAATCATGAGGCATTCGTCCTTGGAGGAGGGCAATCATGTCTCCAAGACCTCTGATCCTGGCTTTACTGAGGGTGCATCTAGGGGAAGGTTTAAAGAAATGTCATAAGCATGACATGCTCCTAAGAGAAGGCCCAAGTCCATTTTCTGAGTTGGGAAGGGGAGGTGGGGAAAAGGACTCCTCCTCCATCTCCAACAATCTAGCAGCTTGGGGCAAAGTAGTTGAGTAGCCCACTGCCACTATTACAGCCCATGGGCTAAGGTAACAGCTAGGTCTTCTGGGTGCCCCTGCATTGGAGTAGAGAGGTTAGGCCTGTGGATGAATGGAGTGACAGAAGAGGCAGGTAGGGGTGTGATAGAGAAGACAAGGGGAATACAACATTTTGTGAGGACATTTTACAAGGGAAGCAGATCATACATGTAGATAAATCTCTGTATTAAGCATCTTCACATAACTTTCATATGACTTTGTATTATGCCTCTATTTTCATACAACTTTGTATCAGATACTTATATAGAAAACTAAGTATTGAGCCTTGGTATAATGTTAAAAAAAATGTCTTTTTGCTAGAAGTAGAATAAGATCTCTCCCCCCCCCCCCGCTTTTTAATCAATTGCCCTGTTGAATGAGCGAAGTATGAATGAGTAAGGCGTGGAAGGCAAGCATCTCCAAACAGCTGCAACAGTTGGAGAGGGGATGGAAGCCAGACCCAAGAACAATAAAACTTGTCAAGTGGGCTCACTAAAGAAGAGCAGACATATTGACAGCCTTAGGGGTTAGAAGAGAGCACCTTCTTTTGAAGACACCCTCTTTGAACAGCATTGGGACAACACCCAGAAAGAAGCAGCACAAAGGACCAACGGACACAGGGTACGTCTTCACTACCTGCCGTATCGGCGGGTAGCAATCGATTTATCTGGGATTGATATATCACGTCTCGTTAAGACGCGATATATCGATCCCTGAACGCGCTCACCGTCGACTCCGGAACTCCACCAGAGCAAGCGGCGGTAGCGCAGTTGACGGGGGAGCCGCGGCCGTCGATCCCGCGCCATGTGGACCCCAGGTAATTCGATCCAAGATACTTCGACTTCAGCTACGCTATTCGCGTAGCTGAAGTTGCGTATCTTGGATCGATCCCCCCCCCCAGTGTAGACCAGCCCACAGACACAGATTTTGCATCTGGTATAGATTTGCATGAGAGGGAAGCTGCTATAAATTGAGGTGTCTTGCAGAGGACCCTGGGTCTCGTCTTGTCAACATGGGAGCATCGATACAGATGGGATGTCTTTTAATGATCAGGTGCAGGAGCCTGAGAGGAGAGCAGTGACAGAGATCTAGATGAAAGCAGTGATTCTGAAGATGATTTTGAAGAAGGCCAGATCTTCAGCTGATGTAACTCCATTGACTTCAGTGGGACTATGCTTATTTACACCACCTAAGGATCTGGTCCAGGGAATGGGGTCAAGGCGCAGAGGAAGGGGGATACTGTTCTGAGAACAGGGAGTGGAATGAAAAGAGACACAGAAATTGCAAGAGGAGAAGGACACAAACACAACATTAGAGAGAGAAGAGTGGAAGAGAGGGTGTCGTATTTCTGTAGCAGGTATCTCTACCTTCCAAACTTACCCAGTATCCTTTGAAGTAGCTACAGTGGTGTTTAAAAGGTGATGCTGCAGCTATTGATAGAAAGGATTCTGGGGCACATCTGGGACCCAAATGGCGGCCGGCTGAACAAGAACAGGGACCTCTCTGAGAGGATAGAGCAACTGAGCAGAAACTCCTGGTGCAGAAGAACAGTTCAAGGCTGGACTGTTGATGAGTTACCATAGTAGCACAGTGCGATTCCAGTGCCCTATTAAGTGTGGCAGCCTAGGCAACTACCCACTTAGTTCAGGCCTATTGCCACCTCATGTACGACTGCATTACTCGGTCATACTGCATTATGTCAAATACCATGAAGGGAGTGCGGTGCTGGGCTGAGACCCCCTCTGCCTGGCCTGAATGCAATGTCAGAGGTGCATCAAATATTGCAGTATTGCCAACTCTAGCAAGTGTCACAGGTCTCACCGTAACTAAGCCCAGATTCACAAAGATTGACTTAAATACTCTGAAGATCTGTGCCTTGGTGTTTTCCTTGAAACATCACATTTTGCAGGTTGGCCATTACGGGCATGTCTACACTGCAATTAAAAAGCCTGCAACAGCTGACTTGAGCTTGTGGGGCTTGGGCTAAGGGGCTGCTTAATTGCTGGGTAGATGTCTGGGATCGGGCTGCAGCCTGGGCTCTAGGACCCTGCAAGCTGGGAGGGTCCCAGAGCT